ACCATTTATTCAGAATGTCTGGGATTTGGTGTATATCATTGTAGGACTATTTCTGTAGCTTAGGTTTATCAACAGTAAAAGAGTAAAGTAATAAGAGAGAGACTGACTTGATTCAGCCTCAATATTTCTGGGGTAAATTCTTTTGGGATATTTTCTTGGCTTTTAAACAAGTCTATTATTATGGAGTTTTAGAAATTAGATGTGTATTTACACAATTGCAATTCATTTCTTCACAATAGTTTTTCTATCAAATTATGTAAATGGCCAAGAACTCCTAAGGCATGCACAGAGATATCACTGAGGCATTACACAGCAGGTATCTTCAGTCCATCAGATCACATCATTCCCATGCACAGTAGGCCACAGCAAACCCATGCATTACTAACAGGTGATTTAATAAATGGTTGACCATTATAAATACTACTAGAGGCCCGGTGCACAAAAATTTGTGCACTCGGAGGGGAGGGGGGGTTCCTCAGCCCGGCCTGTGCCCTCTCGCAGTCTGGGACCCCTCAGGAGATAATGACCTGCTGGCTTAGGCCTGCTCCCGGGTGGCAGAGGGCAGGCCCAATCCCTAGGTGCTGCCCCTGGTTGGGCTCAGAGCAGGGCCGATTGGGGAGTTTGGGCGCTGCCCCCTGTCATGCACAGAGCAGGGAGGATCGGGAGGTTGCGATGCCACCCCTAGTCATGCTCAGGGTACAGCCGATTGGGAGGTTGGGCCACTGCCCCCTGTCATGCACAGAGCAGGGCCCATCAGGGGGTTTGGGGCTCCGTACCCTGTCACACACAGAGCAGGGCCGATCAGGGGGTTGAGGAGCTCCCCCCTGTCACGCACAGAGCAGGGCCGATCGGGGGAGTTGGGGGCCCCCCCCCCCTTTTCACACACAGAGCAGGGTGGATCAGGGGGGTTGGGGCACTGCCCCCTTTCATGCACAGAACAGGGCCCATCAGGGGGGTTGGGGCTCCATACCCTTTCACACACAGAGCAGGGCCCATCAGGGTGTTGGGGAGCTCCCCCCCTGTCATCACAGAGCAGGGCCCATCAGGGGGTTGAGGAACTCCCCCCTGTCACTCACAGAGTAGGGCCGATAGGGGAGTTGGGCCACCGCCCCCTGTCACACACAGAGCAGGGCGGATCAGGGGGTTGGGGTGCCACCACTGTCACACTCAGGGCAGGGCCGATGGAAAGGTTATGGCTCTACCCTGTCACACACAGACCAGGGCCCGTGGGGGGGGGGGTGTTGGGGCGCCGCACCCTGTCACACACAGAGCAGGGCCGATCAGGGGGTTGGGGCGCTGCACCCTGTCACACACAGAGCCGCAGGGCGATCAGGGGTTGGGGAGCTCCTGCATCAGGCACAGAGCAGGGCTGATCAGGGGGTTAGGGCGCCTTCCCCTGTCATGAACAGAGCAGGGCGGATAGGGAGGTTGTGGCCCCGCCCCCTGTCACACACAGAGCCGCAGGGCGATCAGGGGGTTTGGGCGCTGCCCCCTGTCACGCTGATCCTGGTGCCGGGAGGCATATTACCCTTTTACTATATAGAATAGAGGCCTGGTGCACGGGTGGGGGCTGGCTGGTTTGCCCTGAAGGGTGTCCTGGATCAGGGTGGGGGTCCCCACTGGGGTGCCTGGCCAGTCTGGCTGAGGGGCTGAGGGCCGTTTTCAGGCTGGCGGGTGACTGAAGCTCCCAACCGCTCCTTTTTTTCTTTCTTTTTTTTTTATTCTGGGCCAGCTTTAGCTCTGAGGCCTCGGCTGCTGAAAGCAAGTTTCTGGCCTTTGTTTACCTTCTGTATTTGATACAATGTTGTGGTCCGGCTGGCTGAAGCCCGGCTGACTAACGCAGGTTTCTGGGGTTTTGTTTAGCTTCTATATTTGCAACATAGTTGCTTAGAGTTGCAGCTGAAGGCCGGCAATTCAGGCGGGGAATGTTGGAGTCCGCAGTCACTGGAGCAAGCAAGCCTCCCTGTTAGCTTCAAGCTGCCTGGCTGCCGGCCGCCATCTTGGCTGGCAGTTAATTTGCATATCTCCCTGATTAGCCAATTGGAAGGGTAGCGGATGTACGGCTAATTACCATGTTTCTCTTTTATTAGATAGGATTAGTTAGAAGAACTTTGTTGTTTATGCACTTTTAACATGTGGAATCCTAGAAAAAATAGTTCCATACTGGAATACTGCCCATTTAGTAGGGTTGCTCTGACAATTGATGAGATAACAGAAAAGGAGTTAATTGTACATAATAGGTGTTTGTCCCTCTCAGTTTGTTTGCAAACAAACAAAAAAAGAAACTCTGGCTTATTTAAACAGAAAATGAATTAAATAGGAGGCTCGGAATTGATGTGAAGCCTTGGAAAGTGGGCAGGGACCAAAGTGGGCAGACTTATGTAGTCCTGGTGGTGACTTGGATGGGGTGGTGGCTCTGGAGATGTGCAAAGGTTTCAGAGATATTTTGGAGACAAAATCCACAGGCTATGGTGACTGATTGGAACTGAGACTAAAGATGATGGGTTTGCCTGAGATGACTCCAAATTTCACAACTATCTGGAGGAGGACTCAGCAAACTTTTTTAGCAAAATGCCAGATAAATATTCTAGGCCAGGGGTGGGCAACCTTTTTGTGAGTGCGTGCCAAAACCAGCAAAATCTCTGACTCAAAATTTTTCTGCATGCCAACCCTAATTTTTTGAGAACATGTTACGCCTACTTGATATCTCTTAAGGTGTATGTATATGAAGAACCTTGAAGAAATAATAAAATTCATTTGAGCGACAAAAACACAGTATATGATGATGAAAAATACATTTATTTTTTAATGTATACATGTACACTGATAGTTCGACAGAAAACTTTATGACTCCGTTTGATATTATCAGTGGGACTTTTGCTGCTGCATCACTGATGACAGAAATTTTACATCAGGTTTATATTTCGTGACCTTCAGAGATATGCACGAGCTACTACTTTCATCCGTCAGGCTACTTCTATTACAAGATTTAACAAAATTCATCACTGAGAACAAAGATTCACAAAGGTATGTGGATGAAACCAAAACACTGGTCGGATCTAGGAAGGCAGGGAGAGTTAAGGCAGAGGTATAGAAATTGCTCTTCCCCTCTCTCGTCAATCCATGTCTATGGTCTTTAAGATAACTTGTTATATAAAATTATTTATTTAAGATGCACCTACACTGAATTTATCTGAAAAATAAAAAAGTCGATATTAAGAAAAAAATTGTAAATGGAAGATTATAAGAGAGGGTTTCGTGTGCCAGCAAAAGTTACTGGTGTGCCATGTTTGGCACGCATGCCAAGGGTTGCCCACCCCTGTTCTAGGCTCTATGGGCCATGTGGTCTCTGTCTGTGGCCATAGACAATGGTAAACAAAGGGCATGGCACTGTCAATTAAGCCGTATTGAAGCACAACAAGCAGGCCTGATTTAGCCTTTGGTCCAAAGTGTGTGAAGGTCATTAACATATGACCCTGGAGGAGGATGGGCTGGGGAGGACATTTTCTTTTCCTTTCATGAGAGAGCATCATACAGCAGCAGTTATTATTCTCCTTATTAGAGATAATAATGTACACTCTGTCACTGTTAATTTACTTAGCCCATGTTACATGGTTGGTAAGTGGCAAAGTCAGTATTTGAACCCATATCTTTTCCTTCCAAGCCCATGAAAGACCTTCCTACTACCCCATGCATTCTCCTATTCTTTTTCTCCTGAAACTACTCTATGGAGGTGGCAACACTTTCTTTCTGGAGATAAAATATAATTATTGAAATAATTATATTAAGTTTTTCTCACTTTCCCCCATGGGCACTTTTCTTCTTTGAATGATTTTTTAAAGAGCCAGGTAAAAAGGGGCAGTGAGTTTCTCGATGTACCATCGTTGCTTTTGTTCAGTACAATAGACTTTATATTGCTTTGTCCAGTCCCTAAGAAGTGGAACATAGAAGTTTTGTTTTCAAAAAATTTGCATCACATTTCTCTCTCTCCTCTTTTTTTTCTTCATCCTGACACAATTTTATCTTGGGGATAAACAGTGTTATTTTCTTTCCCTCCATTTGAACCCACATTGAACATTTTCTATTAAAATTTAAATAAGCCACTTTAGAGGCAGATGAGGATATGCGGCTAAAATGAGCTGATTCACTGGAATTTGTTCCTGAGAATATAACTTATTTTCTATTACGGCTTATGCAACTCAGTTTCATAACAGAAATTTTAGGTGGGCCAGCATCATGCCATTATGTCCTTTCCCCCAACTTTTCCACACAAAATGGCCAACTGCAAAAGGGGGAAATGAGGGACACTAACTCCTACTTCCCCCACCCCATGGGGACCTAATTATTATTCCATGAAAATGCTGGAATGTGAAAAAAAATGTGAAGATACATTGAATTCTCTTTGTGTGATCCTCAATCAGAAAACATAGCAACAAAAGCTTGTTTGCTGGCTGATTTTCCAAATTTCTCTCTTTTTCTTTGACTGAAGTTGGAGACAGGGTGAATGTATATGTCCAGTTGGATGGGAGGTGCTGCAAGGAGAGGGCACTGGGGCTATAGGGCAGGGTGAGTGCTGAGGTGGAGAAGAGGCAAGATGAGGGCTGATGGGTGGCCAAAGACCCAAAGTGATGAAGAGAGGTGAGATGGCTTCTCAATCACAGGTCTAAAATCAGGGCACAGAGCAGAGAATTCAGCACCAACTATATCATTCAAGCATGAATAAAGCATTGGAGGGATGGAGCAGCATGGGAATTATTCTGAGTGAGCACTTTCCAAGCTGTGCTCCTTATCAATGGGTTTTCTAAGAGAAACTGGTTCCTTTGTTGAGTAATTTTGAAAATATTGATTCTTAGAAAGTCATATTGATAGCGATAATAACAAAAACAATAGTGATAGAAAATAGATATATAGACAGTTGCTGACATAGACACTCACCAATACCTCATCTCCCTCTCCATTTCTGGGCGTGCTGAGAGAATGAATTTCCCCTGCTGTTGAAGTTGGCGAGGAGACATGTCTTGCTTGAGCCACTGAAATGTGAGTAGAAGTGGAGTGCCATTACTAGAGTTCACCTCTTTGGTTTGATTATGGATATGAAGACGAGTCCCCACTCCAACACCAACATGTGATGGAAATGCAGGGTGAATACAAAGTAACTTTTTGTTGTTCTCAGCCACTGAGATTTTAGAGTTGTTTGCTATAGAAACATAACCTGACCTATCTTACTGATAAAATAGCTAACATTTAATGAACATCTAATCTAATAAACGACAAACATGCAAATTGACCGTACCTTCGCTACACCTTAAGTCACACCCACCAGCCAATCAGAGCGACTATATGCAAATTAACCCCACCAAGATGGCGGCCGGCAGCCACGAAGCTGGAGCGAGCGGGAGGCTTGGTTGCTCCAGTGATGGAGGAAGCCAAGCTTCTCACAGCCGGCTCTGAGCTCCACTGAAGGCAACAAAGTTTCAATTATAGAAGGTAAATAAATCCCAGAATAAAAAAAAAAGAAAAAAAGGAGAGGCTGGGAGCTTCCATCACCGGGGGGCTTGGCCAGCCTGAAAACAGCCCTCAGCCCCTCACCCAGACTGGCCAGGCAACCCAGTGGGGACCCCCCAACCCTAAAGGGGGTGTGGCCAGCCTGAAAACAGCCATCAGCCCCTCACCCAGGCTGGCCAAACCTCCATGAGGTGAGGGTCCCCACTGGCGGGGGCTTGACCAGCCTGCAAACAGCCATCAGCCCCTCACCCAGGCTGGCTAGGCACCCCAGTGGGGACCCCCATCCTGAAGGGGGTGTGACTAGCTGCAAACACCCATCAGCCCCTCACCCAGGCTATCCAGGCACCCTAGCGGGATCCCCACCCTGATCCGGGACACCCTTCAGGGCAAACCAGCCGGCCCCCACCCATGCACCAGGCCTCTATCCTATATAATAAAAGGGTAATATGCAAACTGACCCTAACAGCAGAATGACTGGGAATGACTGGTCACTATGACACACACTGACCACCAGGGGGCGGACGCTCAATGCAGGAGCTGCCCCTTGGTGGTCAGTGCGCTCTCACAGAGGAAGCTCTGCTCAGCCACAAACCAGGCTGACGGCTACCAGTACAGCGGTGGTGGTGGGAGCCTCTCCTGCCTCCTCAGCAGCACTAAGGATGTCAGACTGCAGCTTAGGCCTGCTCCCCTCTGGCAAGTGGACATTTCCCGAGGTCTCCCAGGCTGCCAGAGGGATGTCTGATTGCCAGCTTAGGCCCAATCCCCTGGGAGTGGGCCTAAGCCAGCAGGTGGTCATCCCCCGAGGGGTCCCAGACTGTGAGAGGGCACAGGACGGGCTGAGGGACACCCCCTGCCAGTGCACAAATTTTTCTGCACCGGGCCTCTAGTTTAATATATGTTTGTATCATTCACAGTATTTAACATGTGTTAACACATTAGCTGATTATTAGTGGCTCAGGTATGTCTAGATGTAAATAAGGAGGTAAAGAAATCTGTACAAAGTAAAGACATCTGTATAAGTGTATAGAACAATAGAAGCTCCTTATTTCTACTTTCCTTATTTTTGCTGTAGAAACAACTATTGGTGTCTTGTGGGACATAACCAGATAACACATGTTGGAAAACTGTGGCCTGAAACATGCTCTAATATCCATAGCTTGAGACAGTGCATCATGAACCACAGGGAGAATAGAATTCTTACACAGTGGATAGAGAGAACAAGTTAAAAATGCTGAGAGCTTCTCCTTTTCTTATTTCCAAAGCAGAGCCTGAGATGATTGGTTATTTTTCATTAAAGCATGACTCTGACTCTTGGCTAACATTCAGTACTCAAGAGGTTGGAAGTACAGCAATGAGGAAGATGAGGGCTTGTTATTTTGGTGGATCGATCTTCCTAGAGGAAAGCTGTCAGAATAAAATTCCTCATCTATTGAATATTTAGGGGAACAACTAACACTAAGAACAAGAGTTATGTCAGTATGATCTTGGGAAGGTGATGGTCTTGTGGCTAATGCAACCTGGCAAGTCTTGCTATATCAGTTATGGGAAGATGGCTAAAATGGTCATGTGATGGAGAATATATTTCAAAGAAGCCAGGTGGCTAATTCTATGTGTCAATTTAATTGGACCAACCCATGCCCAGGTTAAACATTGTTTCTGGAGTTGTCTGTGAGGGTGTTTCTTTTTACCTATATCTCTTCTCTCTCTCTCTCTCTCTCTCTCTCTCTCTCTCTCTCTCTCTCTCCCCAAAATAAAAAACAAATGAGAGAGAGAGAGAGAGAGAGAGAGAGAGAGAGAGCTATCAAGACATCAATGATGAGAATCATTAATCAGCTGCCTCCTGCATGCCCCCTACTGGGGATCGAGCCCACAACCTGAGCTTGTGCTGATTGAAATCGAACCTGGGACCCTTCAGTCTGAAGGCCAATGCTCTATCCACTGAGCCAAACCAGCTAGGGCCCTATCTCTCTTTTTTTTAAAAAAAAATATATTTTTATTGATTTCAGAAAGGAAGGGAGAGGGAGAGAAAGATAGAAACATCAATGATGAAAGAGAATTATTGATGGACTGCTTCCTGCATGCCCCCTACTGGGGATCAAGCCCACAACCCAGGAATCTGCCCTTGACTGAAATCAAACCTGGGACCCTACAGTCCGCAGGCTGATACTCTATCCACTGAGCCAAACAAGGTAGGGTTACCTATTTCTTTTTATCAGGAAGGAAAATCTTTTATAGATGCCCAATAGTCTTCCCTTTGTGCCTCACTGCCCAGGGTTTCATCACATAGCCATGCCTAATGGAGCCCTGTCAAAAGGAATAGAATCACCTCTATTGGTTTGGACTGACCAATATCATTCCTTGGGCCTAGCCTTGAACCATCTTCTTTGAGCACATGGGAAGATTAACATGCCCCAAACTGGTGATTTTACCTTAAGGAGGAAGGAACAGAATATCTGCTGTAATCCACATTTGTTTCTCAAACTCCAGCAGACTGTCATCTACTTAGTAGGTCCTTTGAAGTAGCTGTGGCAAGAAATCCCCATTCTTGCCCCAGCTGGTTTGGCTCAGTGTATAGAGCATTGGCCTGCAGACTGAAGAGTCCCGGGTTTGATTCCAGTCAAGAGCACATGCCCGGGTTGTAGGCTTGATCCCCAGTAGGGGGTGTGCAGTTGGCAGCTGATCAATGATGCTCTCTCATCATTGATGTTTCTATCTCTCTCTCCCTCTCCCTTCCTCTCTGAAATCAATAAAGATATGTTTAAAAAAATAAATCCCCATTCTTTCTTGTACTTTGAACCGCCTACCGACATCTCTGCTTAGATTACCATCAAACCGCCAGAAGCCAGGAGAAAGGCATGTGGCACAGATTCTTCCTCACTGCCTTCAGAAGAAACCAACCCTACAGATACTTGGATATCAGACTTCCAGCCTCCAGAACTGTGAGATAATACATTTCTGTCATTTCAGCTACCCCACCCCCGGTTTGTGCTGCATTGTTAAAGTAGCCCTATCAAACTAGTGCACTTCCCATTGGTACTAGGTAAAACCCCTGACCACTATCATGATGTACAAGGTCATCCAGGATCTGTTCTTGCCTGTTTTCTAGCATCTCTCACTATTCCATTCTCCAGAGACAGCCAACAGAGGATCTACGCCCTGCCCAGGGTTCTTAGAATAGGACTTTGAATATTGCACATATTCCTTCATTGTCTTGTTGCATCACAGTTTCCCTTTGAGAGTCAGCTCAGTTGTAATCTCTTTGGTGAGGCCTCTCCAACCCTGTCTGTCCAGGGGGACTTCCATCTTCTGTTCTTCCCTGGCACCTTGCACCGGCCTCCACTGAAGCACTCCTTCCATGGGATTACTTTGGTCTTTGTTTTATGACTGCCTCGCTGTATAGACTGAGAGAACATTCAGAGTGAAAATGACTCCCTACTCACTTCTTTCCTTCCAGTGTCAAGCCCAGGGAACTGGCTTATGAGACCCAAGAATCCTTGCTGGGATATTCCTAAACAGCTGAGGGGTTGAATATGACCCAGCAGAAAGTGGGCTGGACAAGGGGTGGTGAGAACCTGGTGTTTGTGTTTTGTTGGCTGCTAACTTGCTGGGTGACCTGGGGCTAGTTCCTTCCTCATTCTTGTTTCTGCATTCCTATCTAAAAAGTGAGGCAGTTGATCAGATGACCTCTAAGGATGTCTTAACAATGTTGCAAGGGAATCTTCTCCCAAGGATAGTCTATCGTGGGACTATCAAAAGAAGCAAACTGAAGTTTAAGTTTTAATGAAAGAATTTCAGACAGACTTAAGACAAAGGGCAATGTTTCCTAACCAAACAGTCTGCTCATGTCTCCCCTTATCCCCACAGAAGTAGCCACTTTTTTGGCTTCCTGGCAAGACTGACTGTAACTCAAAGCTGAAAGGCCAGTGTCTGACAGTATAGTTGTAATTTAAATTGTAAAATGAATGGCCATTAAATAGGATGACTGGACTACTTAGGACCACCCTCTCCTTTGCTGGCAAGGATTTCCAGGGCAGTTTGGAGGCTGCTGAAATGAAGCAGCTTCCAATGAGATACCTGCAAAACCTGAATGGGAAAGTGCCCTAGGGCAGAAGGCAGAACTTCCCACTGCACCCAGGACCTCCTCCTCTTTTCTCAGCACTTGTAATCTCTCCCCAGAGCAATGAAAGGCTCATAGATCTCTCTAGTTTAGAGCCAACTGAGCTCTGGGTCTCCAATGTAGGGACAGGTTCAGACTGCTGGTGAACTTGGTTTTATGATAGAAAAGCAAAAAAAATGTTCACTTCTGCAATGGTGCCAAATTGTGTTGGTTACTAAGTTTTCAACGGGATATTCTTGGCTGGGTTTGCTTAGTGAAAGCTCTCTTCACTTCAACACTGTTCTTTGAGATATCCATATCTGGACAGCCTGGGACAGTCACAGAAAGTGTTCCCATGATCTGAGCAACTAAACATGGCTGTATGTGTATATAATATAGATGCGTTTTTTTTCTGAGATATTTTGTATAATATTTGACTCATAACTTAACTGTTATCTTATGCAAATCATTTGGCCTTCATGGTCCATAGTGGTCTTGCTGTAAAATTAGTATAATGATGCCTTATTACCTCTTACTTTTCACAGAGCCATTTACTTATCTTACCTGATGTCTTTGACTCTATTTTATTTTTAATTTATTTATTTTTTAATATATTTTATTGATTTTTTACAGAGAGGAAGGGAGAGGGATAGAGAGCTAGAAACATCGATAATAGAGAAACATCGATCAGCTGCCTCCTGCACACCCCCTACTGGGGATGTGCCCACAACCAAGGTACATGCCCTTGACTGGAATGGAACCTGGGACCCTTGAGTCCGCAGGCCGACGCTCTATCCACGGAGCCAAACCAGTCAGGGCTTGACTCTATTTTAATTTAAAGTCTTTGACTCAATGATGTTACCTCTAGTTTTAAGATTCACAATTTGTTAAAATAAAATGTGACTTTAGTCCTGCAAAACAAAAATAAGTTAACTGACTTTGGTGGAAAGAAACCCCTGTTAAACTCTGCATTGTCACAGGTCTGGTGGTAACAGCCTTGGCTTCCTCAAAGGATCTGGTTTAAATAAGAGTTTCAGTGACATTTCTTTTAGGTTGTCCTGCATCTTTTCCCTTTCTACTTGCATTTTCATTCCCCTTATAATAACCAGGGAAATTGATATTATCATTTTATCTACAAGACAAGAATATTGACACTTGGGAAGAATAAGTAATAGTCCCAAGTTCACCCAGAAGCAAGAAGCCGAGTTAATACCTAGAATTAGGTCTTCTGTCTCCCATCCAGTACTCTTTTCACCTCAGAGATGATCACATTAGCCACATCTTGGCATTGTTTGATACTTTATCTCATCAACAAGTCAAAAACATCTGAAGCACCTGCTACTAGAGCCCAGATCTCTGATAAATGTTGGATAACCCCAATCCTGTCCTGAAGAAGTTCCCTAGAGTAGTCAAGATAAGATTTCTGCAGAAACTGCCACAGTGCAAAGCAGAACATAGACAGCTTAGGGGTTAGAAAGTGTGCAGATCACAGAGGGCCTTTGAGTGCCTAGTTATGGAGCTTGGCATTTATGAGTAGGCTATAGGGAACCACTGAAAAACTAAGTCACGTGTCCTGTGTTCAATAAGCTCTTCTTGAATAAAACAAAACCAAACTAAAGTAAACTAAGCATGGGAAGGACTTAGAACAAGTATTGGCATTGCTACCTCTCCCCACTGGAGGAAAATGGAGGAGGACAGGCAAGGTGCAGGGGCCTATCCAAGTCACAGTGAGCGAGAAAGAAGAGCTGGGACTCCTGGCCAGGTCACAGGAACCTTCCCTAACCCCTTTCCTTAATTTCTGTTGTGCAGACAGAGGTTGGCCAGGCAGGAAGACAGGAGCTGGTGGGGAACATGGGCTGCCCTAGCTCTCATCTCCTTCTCTGAGCCATTGCATGCAAGTCTGCTGGCTTATAGAGGCTATTTCAGTCCTGCCACTGTTCTGTCTGACCCTTTGAGAGTAGACTTAATCACATGACTTGCTTTGGCCAGTGGTAAAACATGACACAAGTAGTGTCTTGAAACAGCCTTGCATTCTGGGCATTGCTCTCTCATGCCTCTGTCATCGCCAGGCCAGCATGTCCAGGCTAGTTCAGAGTTAGTGCTGCAAAGCTGTGTGGCACAGAAAGTGGGGATGGAGTGGGGCAAGAACTGAGCCCTCATTTCAATTTAACAGCACCATCTATCCTCATACCCACCCTACACACAACACCATGCTGCTTCTCTGCAATATCTGCGCTGAGTCCCTTTGATGTCATCTAGGGCTCAATGTGTGAGTGGACCAAGTCCTCGACCCTAGTTGTACCCCCGCCTTTCTTTAAGTGCAGCCCAAACATCATCTCTTTCAGGAGATTCTGAACACCTCTAATTCCTACCAATGGTTCTCTTCTCTGGGCACCTAGCATAAGTAGAAATGGAGACTCCGATTAATCTACTGCCTTTAGATATACTGTCTTATTTGAATGTCTCATCCAAGAAAATGCATAGCAGACAGGGAGTCTAGGGAAGAGGCATGGAGAGTGTGTAGGAGCCCCAAGTAGCTGTGAACCCCTGGGGTGGAGAGATACCCACTGCAGATAACCAGAGCTTCTCCAAAGGTGGTTCCTTAAGAATTCCAGAAAAAGTCTTATTACTATTACTTATTTCTTACTCCAGGCAGCATGTAGTTTAGTCCCAGAGCCTCATCCACAGGGCAGAAGATGAGAGTTGTGATAGTGGGTAGATATTTGGTATGACAGTGAAGTTATATTTGTGGGAAACCAGGACACGGTGTCATTGTCAAAATGATTAATAATACAGAACAGCCCAGCCGGTGTGGTTCAGCAGTAGAAAGTCGATCTATGAATCAGGAGGTCTCGGTTTGATTCTCAGTCAGAGCATGGTTGTGGGATCAATCTCCAGTAGGGGGATGTACAGGAGGCAGCCAATCAGTGACTCTCTCTCATCTCTTCCTTACTCTCTGAAATCAATAAAAATATATTAAAAAATAATAATACAGAACAGCCTCCTTTACTGGTCATCTACATTGTTCCTTCCAGGTAGGTGGTATATCTCCCATTTAGCAGAGGAGAAAACAAACTCAGGAAAGAAAAATGACTTACTCCATATTACACAGCTGGTAAGAAATGCAATTCAATCCCAGGCCTGCTTACCCCAGAGCTCAGCACTTCTCTGCTATGCTACTTCAGGCTGTACAACTACTTCATCTAAGTAGGACAGGCCCTGCCCCATGGGACCACACTGCCAGGTAGAGCACCTGGTAGGGAAGGCAGTTGTCCAGAAGGGTCCTCATGTATAGACATGTGTCCTAAGTTCCTCCTGTCCCACTATCTACAAGTCACACCTGTCCAAGCTGCCCATAGCCTTGACTGGAGGAGCACAGTGGTGCACGCTGGGGAGGAAGGAGCAGAGATACTGGCTCTTCTGTGTAACTCCAGGCATATCACAAACCTGCCTTGGTTTGAGTTATTTTATGAAAAAAGGGAGTTAAGCACATTTAATTCAACAGATAATGATTTGGCTTCCACTAAGTGAATGAATCAGAGTGAAGAGAGATGTGGAAAGGGGTCCATTTTTTTCTCCAAGGAGCACATGGTCCATTGGGGTCAAGAACACTTCCCCAGGTTCCTCAGACACACACTGTGTGGCAACACAAGGGAGATACCTCTAGAGGGGGCTGGAGGGGAAGGGTGCATCAGGATATTGACAGGTGGGGAAACTTAGGGAGAAGTGGGATTTTTTTTTTTAAAGAAGGATAAGGGTCCCTTTTATCTAAGCATCTTCAGAGTCTGTCCGGATTCCCAGGACATTGCAGGTCTTGACAGCTGTAAATGAGGGAAAATAACT